AAAAATCCCGCATTACCGCATGAAAAAATCGAAAATACCGCATACCGCAAAAACGAATATGGCGTTGCAATTTAAACATAAGTGTGATAAAGCTAATAAACCTACTAAATGGCTTCTCGTAGTTTTGTTACGCTTTTACGTTCCTCCGCTCCGACTTCACAGCGGAATTTGTTTTTCTTTCTATAATGTTTTCCTCCTTTTCCTTCTTCATAGAAGAACGCCACGCATTCTATAATTACTAGGCTGTCAGACATACTTCGGAGTATGTAAGTACGATAACGATGTCACAAAGATTAACGAGAATGACCAGGTAGTCCAGAGAGGTCATATAGGTCAAATTACATGATAGAAAGGTCTGTGATTGGCTGTATGGATTGTGAATCATTTTTCTCGCAATACCGCCATTTTAAGCGATCTTTCCCGTAATACCGCATCTTAAAACTTCAAATACCGCATATCGCACAAAATACAAATCCCGCATTATCGAATTTATTTTGCCAAATTACCGGAATATCGCATGAAAAAACAGTCAATCCCGCAATCCCCTAAACCCCAATGTCCCCCTCTATAAGAAACAGTCAATGAGCTTCAAAGCCATATTCACTACAAGAGAATTTTGAGTATACTGAAAGTGAATACATAATTATACATGGCAATCCCGAGATTCTTTGCAGCCTCAAGACTGTGGACTGTGTCCTTTCGACGACAACGTTTTTTGAATTAGGTGTATACTAATAGCCTGCGAAGCGGCTATAGGGGAGGGAGGAGGGGAAAAACGGAAAGGATCTCCTTTTTCCGCTCCTTCCYTTCCGTTATGCAATCTAGTATACTATAAGGCGCATGGACATACCATAGTTCAGMAGACAATTTGCTGGATTTGTGGTTTGGTATATATGATTTATAATTAAATCAACTGTTTCTTACAGTGAAATCAAGATATGGTTAATTTCTGAGGAAAACAAAAAAATACAAAAAAAACTGTCAAGGTGGTCTCCATGGCAACGTCAAATTTACTGCCTTTGAAACAGAACTCATATCAAAATGTTTGTAGATATGAACTATCGAGAACCAACATCACAGAGTTTCAGGGCTATCGTAAAGTTATCAGCGTTCAATTTTTGGACTTTTTTTTTCAAATTGTGTCATGAGTCATTCGGCGAACTATTCTCTGAAAGGACGTAAAACATCCCCGGAAGTACTTAAAATAGCCAGCGACACTACTTGCCAGACATTGAAGCGTTTTATAATACTTTTAGGAGGAAAAATCACTTATTAATCTGTTGTGATTACCAACGGTACGGAATTATGAATCGGCACTGATTTTTAATGATCGCTTTTGAAGTGGGCAACTTATTTTAATCGAGGTGATCGGATTTTGTGCATCATTCACCTTATGTTGCTGAAACAAGCTAAGGAGCACATTGTCAAAGCTAATAGCCTGGGGTGTATCACAAGGAAATCAAAATGTTGGAGACGTTCAAAAGAAGTTAGAAAATTAAAATGTGTATACTTTKGTGGAAATTCACAAAAGCCTTTTTGACCGGACCCTGATCGACTGCTCTAGGGTATAGATGGTTATGTTTAATACGTATTTAGGATTATTTATTGCTTTTGAACAAACTATCATAAAGCTCCTGACAGTTTGTGGAAGGTCTTAATTCCTTCTTGATCAAATGACTAATGACTAATTGATGATTGTTGGTAACAATGTATGTGGATCACTTCTAGTCTTCTTCACTTCATTTCTTTTAACTGGARATTTCTCTTCCTTTAGGAATGTTAGTTGATTTTTATTTTTATTAACATTTCTACCAGCTAGCGATCGTTCGTGACGCTTCCTTTGAATAAACTCACTGAACGACAATCCTTGTAAATCTTGGAAAACTTTAGATTCGTCGAAATCAGTTTCATCCTGATTACTTTTGGTTAACCGTGTTGCTCTTCGTCCTTTTGAACTATGAAAAATTGTACCATTAGCAAAACGTACTCTTTTTGTAGTTTTACTGAGTCTTTTTTCGTTGTCTGTCTCGTAGCCAGAAGTATCCGAATTATCCATAGTCTGACCTTTCGTGTCTTTAGGTCTTTTATCTTGCTTTACACTTGGATTTTGTTTCAGAATGCTCACAAGCGAACGTGAAGGATTTTGGAAAACAGAACTTGAAGGTTTCCACTCGCACAAGTCGTAACATGTTGCTATAGAAAGGGATTTGTACTTCTCAATGCTTTTAGTTAATTTTTSTGAGCGTTTTTCACGTATATTTTCAGCACTGTTCGATTTGTATTGTTGCCCATGACAACTTAGCATGGATGTCGGAGCTCCTTGCAGTGGGGGCAATGTGAACTTTTTCTCCTGGTCTGTTTCATTTGGGCTTTCTGTGAATGCCTTATTTTGCTGTATTGTTGTGTTGATCGGTTTTRTTAATACACTGTTATTGKTAGTGTTCGTTCCAGCATCATTCCCTTTTAAGTCTTTGGGATTTTTGGCTCGATCGCCATAACTTCTTGTTCTTGCCTTTTTACTCTTCTTTGATAAAAAAGATTGCTTCCCTTGAATGATATTTCTTTCTCTTCTACTTTGACCATCACATATTACTAAGCGTCTTCTTGTAGTTTGATTTGGTAAAGTGAAGTTAACTTGAATCCAAGGTGAATCTTSAAGATTCATTTCTAAAGTCTGTACTCATGACTCATAGAACATGTACAGCAGTCCAAATTCAGCACATAAAGCTATCTTGGATTACAACAATCTTCTTTAAAGATTATAATTTCGCTCAAGTCACCATTTAACATGATTATCAATATTTACGCTCACCAATATAAATATCGCCACCGAGTTGGTGTGTTTTGCTCTCGTCATAAAACGCGTTATTGTTCACTACGAATTTACCTGATTGGTTGATTTGGTAGCAATAAAACCAAAGGTCAAGAGAACAATCAAATAAGTCTAGCATAGATAAATTTCATTCAAGAGTAAATCTAACAGTCATTTTCTCACAAAAAGAGTTGAAAATGATTGTAGAGGCGTGAAATGTGATAATAATTGGTACTGAGAGTTAATTGCCTATCAGTTCATGATGATTGATGGGATAAAGTCTTCACTTCATGTTACCTAATCAGAAACATGTTGCTTTTAATCTCAACATATTCAACGAATGGATGATTTTCCTATTTCTTCTTTTAGCTAGAAAGGCTAATTATCATCAACTTATGAGAATCAGTAAACTCGCGCACTAGAACCATTAGCCGACTATCTAGTTTCTTTTGAATGGTGTTTATTTCCACGGTAGTTATTCATTCAAATATAACATTTTGCTGATAATAATAAATAAAAAATAATAATAATAATAAATAGTTCGCGCTTTTAATCTATTATTTATTCCCCCTCAATTCAACATGTTCTCTTCTTCGTGCTGTTTTACGACCGTATTTTACTGCATTATAACAAAATAAAGATGTCATTAATAAGTGTTTTTATATTGCAATGAATAATAAGTGGTCATATTGTAAAATCTCCTTCTGGCTACCTTGATATTGAATAMATGTGCAGGTGCCGCAATATCACTGGTRCTTKTCAGTATGACTTTTTGATTGGTCCAACCAAAGAAAATTCAGGGGTCTTTTATATTACAAGAGAAAGGCTTGCTCTTTCCCCCCAGGGAAGTGATTGACAAAACTAATCAGTCAGTGGCCATATTCTATCTAATGTACCAAACAGCACTTTATTTTAAAAGTATATTGTTTGTTATGACAACGCTTTGTGAAAAGTATGAACATCTTATTTCTTAACTATCTTAATTGAGCGGATAAATGAGGTTYATTTATCTATTCAAAAAGTTGTACAATAAAAGGCGTTGACTGTGGCACTGGTGTACCCTTGTAATCTGTTCTTATATACTTTGTATATGCACAATGATCATTATGTGTAGAATGAGGCAGAAGTCTTTCTTCAAAGGTTTTTCTATGAAGTGTTGGAAGTGACAATGGTCGTTGTGTTGGTGGTCTTAGTGGAGTATAATATTTGCCACCGTATGACAGACTAGGGCACGTTTGATCGCCAGTTAAGAGATCACTGTTGCACAGTTTACAGAATTTCGTATCATTTTCTATCGTACTGTCCAGAGAACTAGAGTCAGTCTTTTCAAACTGGCTTATCACAGCGTTCTGACTTTTTCTRTAATTCATTCTTTCCGGCACATGTACTGTAGTTCGCTTGTAATGTGCAATAAACTTGCGAACGCTTGTTTTTTCGTCCTCGGCTTGAAACGATTGTACAGCTTCTGTTATTGAACGCGCAACTTTTCCTCGACTTCGCTTGCCATTATCGTACTTATCAGTTATATCAATAGCTTTAGGACTCACTGCTATCTCTTGTTTAGGCTTCTGTAAGTGTTTTATATTATCCAAATCTTGTAGAATACCAGTGTTTTCATCGAACTCTTTCCAGTATTCTAGTGGATGAGAAAAACGCACTCGTTTTTCCATTGTTTGTCTTTTACCTATTTTCTCTTTCGTTTCAACTGGTGATTTTCTTTATATATGTTGATCGATCAAAACTAGAGATTTTCTTGCAAGTGATGAGTTCCTCGAAGTGAGCGATGTAGAGCCGWGTCAGATGCTTATCGATAATTGGTTGCATGTAGTAAAGAGATGGTCACAAACGTTTCAGTAACTAACATTACCGAACAGGTGTAGAACTATCACTCGTTCATCAATTATGTTTCAAAACATGTCATTGCAGGAAGCTTGGTAAGTCTACTTTCTCTCTCTTGGATGAAAACATACACAGATATTCTATGCTTTCTTCGATTCTCCTGTGCTAACCAGTCAACAATAATTTGATTAGCKGGTTGATGGCTCTCGACTAAGGCTAACAATAGCTGCAAACGTTCTTGTCAGTGGTTTTCAATCGTCTAATTTAAATGCAAAATTCACCTCRGACACTTCTGGCCTTGTGGCTTTGTTGAAAAACCTTTCGACGATTTCCTTGGAAGGTGACACATCACAAATAATGAAAATTCATGAACATAGACGGATAAAAATTCGCTTTAAAGACAAAATAAGAGTCTGTAGGGGAAACATAGCAATGTTAGTGCTACCCACTGTGTAAGGAGCCTGTGTCGTCATTAGTATCCCATGGAGACTGCTTTCTTGAATACTTATCGAAAAAAATATCCGAATTTAATTTTCTACATGTCATCTATATGTCATGAATAAACAATGAAGAAGCGAGACAGATATAGTATTCTGGCGTTAATTTACAAATAAGTTGACTTGTGCCGTAGAGTTAAAAACAATTCGGTAAAGAGTAAACTTAGTTTGTTTTATTCCAAGGTAAATATTGAAACAGGTAAAGCCAACACGAAGGTAGGGTTGCAGAGTGCTTTCTATTGACTAGCAATCCATGCTTACTAGAATGACGTAAATGATTGTCAGTTAAATAACAGTGTCAACGTCTCTCATTCTCTACCACAAACTAAAACAACAACAACAACAACAGCAACACAACAACAACAACGAAAAAAAACACAATAATGAAAAATATCAAAAACCAACATCAAATTCATGGAAATCGCCAACAAATTTTACAAATCACACTAAAACGTTTAGATAATTTATTATTGAATATTAAAACCATTTCTTTCAGTTTCCGTCATGAGGCAACGTTTGTTTTATGTTTTATGGCTTATATTTTGGTTTCTTGCCAACCTTCTTGAGTCAACAATAATGCAATAATATTTTTAATTAAAAACAAAATGCTTCCGAAATCCTCTCAATACAACATAGGCTCCTTTCGATTACACGCTTGTTATTCAACTCAGTTTCAAGTGACTGGCGGTTTTCAATCAAAACATCTTCATCCCCGCATTCTGATTTTACCATTTTTCCCCTTTCAACCAACGACACAAACGGACTGGATTGTGCCTCTGTAGGTAGTTGATTACCCATAGCAACGCAACGATGTGGTAATCATCATTACTATTCTCATCATCATCATTATCGAACTGAAAACTCTGATTAATGCAGGCAATGATAATATACTATAAGAGCAACGGTTAAAAGCACTTGACCACTAAGAACAATGCACATACGATGACGTCTTGACGAAAATTCATTTGAATTACAAATCTCGTTTTTGTGTTCATACTGCTGACCTCCATCCATTCTTTGTGTCTATGTCTGGTCGATAGTCAAATCAGGTATCATAGTCTATCATTAGTATTTGATAACATAGGGAACTACTATGAAGTCCCTAAATTAATCAGCATCAAAAAAATTGTAATAGTAAAATCGTGGTACAAGTTGCTAATTTTCAAATCATGACGCGAGAGCACAGGCTAATACTTCTGAAACTTATATAATCCTTGAATAAATATTGAAACCTTTTTCACTGTGTGATGATGAAGTCTTAGCAACTGTGCACTCGGCTGTTGCATCGCAGATACCAATACCAATTAACAAACAGCATGCAGGGCTCCAGTTGAAAATACCGCTTAAAATGTTTAATATAGCAATGGGTTGTCCATGTAATGAGTTCTTTTAAAAGTTGACTTCTATTGTGTCGGCCCATTGTTTAAAGTGATTTASAAGCATCAATTCTAACAACAGGCCATATACAAGGATTATTTCGACCACGTAAAGATGCTAATCGCTCCGAAGTGGTTTCTTTGTTTGACTGTTAGTCAGCCGTTATCACTGTAACTACAAGAAACACAGCCATACAAACACTTGGTCGTCATGTTCTACCTGGCTCTCTTAAAAACATTCTTTGCGATCTAAAATGTTCTCAAGCTACATCGATAGACAAAAGTCTCGAGTTGGAAGCTCGGAAAAGTCTCAGAAAGTTCACTCTGCCAATTGGAAAGAGGAGGTACAGCTCAGAAAAGAACTGATTTGTTTGAACAAACAAGAACAACAGCGTGTCAGCAGAATTTCAACCGATCAAAGAATAGTCGTGAATCGTTTTCAAAAGAAACTTTCAAAAAGTGTTGAGATATCAAAAGCCCACGAACACATCATGAATGTTATGAACGGCAATAGAGCGGCAATGACGCAGCAATTTCTTAACAGAGAAACGACTTCATGTGAGCATATGAGAACTATACGATGTCTGAACGCATTCCCAAAGCCTCCCGTGCCGACATTCAATAAGGGCAGGTCAAAATCTTGCGAGCCACCCAAAACGAAAGATACTGAACGCGTGCTAGTAAAASAAGACCAACAAAAATCAGAAAAGGATCTTATTCCAAGGCCTATGACCGCTTTAGAGAAAAGAAATATATTATGGGAAAGACAACTAAACTCTGTAACTCAGAGAATCAACAGAGCAAGAAGCGCTCCAGCTAAACCAAACTTTTATAAACTACCAGAATTTACCATCGACACAAACAAAGTTGGAAAAAGAAGCAGAACAATCAGTAAACGAACTGGAATGACTTATACAGTCGATATGGAACTTTATAGATATACTCGTGAAAAAGAAATTGAGAAACAAAATATGGCTGTGAGSAAGTATTTGAAAAGTATAGAAGGCTTAGAGCTCGTACCATGGACACCCTTTGACTATCAARATAACGATACAAGTACCGTGAATAACGCAGATATGAGACGCGTCTCGAGAACTCGTCAAAGAACTCCTTCTGGGACTGCAGGTGATGTGAGCGGCGATCCCGTAAATGCATGGACATGACACGTTTTTTTTAGCAAGTGTGATTGATTTTTCATAATAACATAAGTGATGATTATAATTGATGAAGTCGCAATGTTTGCAATAAAGACAATCAACGAAGAACTAAAGCAATTCATAAAATAGGTAAAAGTTGTAGCTTTTGCTCACTTTAAATTCCTGGACAGTTTTTAATTTTGATTTTCGCGTATGAATTCAGTCCTATTTTGGCATTTAAAACTGTAGCTATATAATTGTTATTACTAAAATAAAATCTTGAAAAGTCTCAAGAAATGAAGTAGAAAAAATTAACGGCTTCATGAGGGCTCGAACCGCGAACCCCGCAATTAATACTTTGACACCGCCGTGAAAAAGCAAATCAGCCGTGGAGCCTGGGCCCCCTGTGCCAAAACTTTTAGCGAATGGTCAAGTAACATGTCACATGTCATTTCAATGGGAAATTGAAAATGGGGCAACTAGACCATATGTTTGAAAAGTCGGTTTTTGCCTCATATCCTTTCTAAGTTAATTATCTAGAGCTCTTGCCTTAGAATGGTTGTCCATCACTTGCTGTTAAGGAGATATTTGGTGATAAAGGTCACGTGACCTAACTTTACTTCTCAAAATCTGCCATTTTCTCATCACTAAATATAGAAAGTCATTTATTCTAAGCCAAGTAATGTTTATTTAGTTAAACTTAATAGTTTGACGTCAAAAAGCTTTCAATAAAGTATGTTTTCATTACCCCATTTTGAAATTACCGTTGKGTCACGGGACCTCCAAAATTTGACAACATATATTCAAAAATATTAAGGAACTTGATTTTAATTATGAGTCTTATTGCTGTACGACAAATGGTGGTGAAAATATCGCATTTTTATAATATTTCTTTAAATGGGCTAAAATCTCAGGCCTTGATGCACTTGAGAATAAACGAAAATTAAGGAAGTATCGGACCCTTGCTACTGCGCATCGTTCGCACGCATCYTGGAGTGCACGCATTCGTCCTTACCGCGAAGAGACTGGGCACTAGTAAATGAAACGGTGATAAGGAGTAGAATTATCTTTATATTTTAGAAACAAAATTGATAGAAAAAACTARCCTTCAGGGCATAACTTCTATTTGAGAAGGAGTTATTTACACTTTATTATTATTTATTATTATTATTTACACTCATTAATTTTCAAGGTTTTTACGCACGGATTAAATGGCCCAGAATTGTAGGCATCCCCTCCGAGAACTTCCATTTCATATGTTTTCTAAACTTTGCATCTATTGTAAAACAGCTTTCTGGATTATTTTGTTAAATGCTGTAACCTTGAGCTTGTGGTATTTTGCCAAGAAATAAAAGTAAGGAAATAAAAACAAAAGATATTTTACTACATACAATTTTGTCTTTACCCACTTTTAGACGCAACAATGACAGCTGATAAGTTTGTTAGACTCGAAATGTGGGAATGTAATGATGAGATCRATTTTCTTTAAAAATCGCGTGAAAACCAGAAAAAAACTTTTTTGAAGTCTTGTACCTCAGTAAGCAGAGGATTCCACTTTTTTTCTGTGTATGAATGTCCTACTAACAGTAATGACACAAATTTAAAAAATCTTCATTATGGCCGCCATCTTAAAAATATCACATTGTTCCTTGCGAATAACCTATTCGGAGGGTAGGTTTATATCAAAATTAAAACAAATGTAATAGCAAACTGAATCTTTGAATTATCAGAAACTACAACTGATAAACAATCTATGCTTTTGTCTCTTGGAAACTCCATAAGTTTGACCGCAGAATTTCGTAGGATCTTCTCGTCAATAGCGAAACCAAAATATGTATAATCATTTCATATACATAGACCAAATTAACTGTTGACCATAAACACTGCGTCTATTGTCACAGACGGATTACTAAACAAAAGTATGTCTTATTGATATAGCTCAATTACTCGACAAACAAAGAAACGATTTGATTACTTGTTACTCAAGCATCTATAGCAACTACAGCCATATCAAACATCGCATGCTGGAAAACAAACGGAATGGCCGGCACCGTTCAGTGTGTAACGCCATTTCGTCTTCTATTGGGAACCATTTCAAGTCAGCTGCTCAAAGACGATGTAAACAAATTGAAAGCTCAACTTCAAGGACACTTGAATAAAGAATGTTTGGATGGTCTTGATGATGGTGGTCAATTAATAAAGGTTCTCTATCAAAGAGGACTAATTAACGATAAAAAGTTAGCTTTTTTGAGGAGACTTTTGGCTGAATGTCATCTTGTTGAGCTGGTGGAGCTTGTGGATGATTTCAGGAATTCGTCAACAGATGGGCAATCCAGAAACGGTATTTGTTTTGATAGTGGTAAACTGCAATTCCCTAAGCACGTTCTACTGTACAACATGACAAGCTGTCGGTTTAGCCRCTAGTATTTTAGTGTAAAGCAAACGTAATTGTTTAGCAAAAACCGAATGATTTAAGCGAAATATCATTTGAGGCAAATTAACATTTACTTTCTAACTAGACGTACAAATACGCACTGCATGTACTATGAACTATTGTTAGAAATAATCGGAAATATCGATTTTAAATAATACYGAATAAATCTATAACGCTTAATTACCCACAATCTTCATAGTACAGTTATGGCTGATATAGGTCCGTATCTCCGTCATTCGCATGCATTAAAAAGATACAATAGCTTAATGTTTATCTATATAAGTCCTCTAGCATTTTACGGTCGAAGTGTGTTTAATAATCATGCTTCATTGATGCTGCACTATACGATCACAGTCGAAATTTTCATTAGGCATTTTTCAATCCAAGACAAATTGAGTCTTGAAATACTGAATTGTCCGCTAGCATATCTCATTGATGTGCCATCATATCTAACTATGATGCCAAATAAACACAGGAACATAGGAAATGCCGATTTCTTTTGGATTTTCAAACTTCATTTTATTCATTTTCTTTTTAATTAGAAACGGCTCGCATGAGAAAAAGGCTYCACGATCTACAAGTCATTMTAGCTCGACAACAAACAGAATCGAAAAACTACGAAAGCATTGGTAATGAATTGAAAGACCTACTATCAGAAAAAGAAAGTCTTCTTGACGGACAAAAAGAGCTCTGCATAAATCAGCAAGAATCAGTTGATAGTCTCAATGAGAAGCTAGAAACGTCCATAAACGAGAGAGATGTAATAGAAGAACGCGTTACAGAAAGCGAGGAAGTTATTAAACTACAAGAAAAAGAGCTAAAAACTCTCCAGGATACTTTAAAAAACTCGAGGTAAACCTAAAAGTATTGTATGGAACAGGATCTGTTTTTCATGACATTTATGTGAATTCTTGCKCGCTGATTGGCTGATATAGATTATATGAAAACAATGCGCAATTTGTTAAATTCAATTGAGGAAAAAAGAGCGAACATGACATTAAAAAAATATGGAAATGCATCAGAAAAGCAATAGGTAATACGTCTTGTCATATAAGGCATAAAGGCCATACATGCGTAATCGAGTTGTTTGGGATACCCCGATTGATTTATTAGGTYATGAATTATTATTGAGATTTTTAAGGTACTATGTACTATTCTTATTCTGAGTATAGGCTCATCGTCAAGAGAAACAGTCAAACTCGAGTAAGCGTCTTTGATAAGCACTCCAACGACAAATCAAAGAAAAATCACGAATCACTCATGAAACAAACTGAGGACAAAGCAGAGACATTGAGAAAGTACAAAGAAAATAGTAAGCAAACGTTGACATTACTGTATTCTCAAAGAAAAAACGTCCGAAAACTTAACTTGGATATACTAGATGAGACAAAGAACATGATTAAGACGGATGAAGAAATTCTTCACACGTATGAAGAGATGAGGAAAATACGTCAAAAGTTGAGACAAAATGWTATTGATGTCTGGGACCTAAATTGTGAACTGGAAGATTCTCATTATGAAATTAGAAAATCTGATAATCACCAGGTTTTGGATAAAGCAAGTACAATTCCTACCGAGAGGCTTGACGATACCAGTAAACAAAAGGTAAGATATATAAAAATAGCCAATTCAATAAACAACTTGAGCACCGTTAACAACAAGCATAAGAAAAACTGCGGCAATCAAAAATAACAAAATCGAAGATGAGAAATCATGATTGCGATTAAGACGGCCAGTACAGCAATGGTGACGATAGTATTAGTGATAATGGTATTGGTGATTGCGATTAAGACGGCCAGTACAGCAATGGTGACGATAGTACTAGTGATATAGGTATTAGTGATTGCGATTAAGACGGCCAGTACGGCAATGGTGACGATAATACTAGTGATATAGGTATTGGTGATTGCGATTAAGACGGCCAGTACGGCAATGGTGACGATAGTATTAGTGATATAGGTATTGGTGATTGCGATTAAGACGGCCAGTACGGCAAT